ATACAGTCACAATTATTCACGACATTTTGGGTTTGAAGCAAAGTTCATTGGAATTGCCTTCACAGCAAACCACCTACGCGCATTACCTAGCAATAGATTGAACCACAACTGTTCAGTCAGGATTATATCAAGTGAAGTGAACGCAACAATTTGATGTAAAACCACTTGGTCGTTCGAGTGAAAAAAAATCATTTAAAAATAAAACTTATGATCCCACAATCCTTATTGGTATCACTGACACTATTAAACACCCGGGAAAGCATGCTCTTTATTGCAGACCGCATTCATAGGTTATTCGAGGTGAACACGTCTGCCGTGGATTATCTCAATTGTTTCAGGTAGAATGCTAATCGCGAGTGTTAATCGAAACAACGGCCTACACGAGTTCAGGGCCTCCACACCATTTCATTTGTATTGTTATAATTCTCGCAGTGAGGAACATTTAGAGAAATACTGCAAAGTGTTTACTAATCCTTTCTTGTATTTGTCACAGTTCTAGAATACAAGTGTCGTTCACATTCACGTAATTGCGGCAACTCATCAGATCGGTATAACTCTGGCCACTATAATCATGATTTAAACTACCAGCGCCAAGACCAAAATTAGGACTGACATCTCGCGATAACAAAAATGAATAAATTTCAATAAATTAATTAATTGAATTAAAAATAATGGGACATACGATACTGTGTGTTTGGATTCTGGGACTGCTATTTCATATATAAATGACTCACTTTTTACTCAAATGTCAACATCAAACAACGTCATCGTTAACATCACAATATTTTACTGCAAATGGCGGCGGCTTAACAGTCCATGGTGTAGTACATCTGGCTACGTACACAGGAAACTAGAAAGTCAAGCTTAATCTGCATATTAACCCAAAATTAAAAATAAACTGTCATAGACTTCTTGGTAAAAATGATTAAATTGGATTCTGGCGATTTTTTTTGTCGGTCACTGAATATTTTATTATTTCATTTGCACTGTTACCCTGGAATCTAAACTGCGAAACAATTTATTAAGAATTACATTTCCACTTGATAACTCTGATCAGCCCATTTTTGTAAGACGTAAAACCTAACTAGAGAAATGTTACTATCGTCATTCGATGCCAAATAGTCAATTTAAATTTACCACTAGATAATTGTAATTTTATGGCACAATCACGGTGAAAAAATACCCAACAACAACACTTTTTGTTCCAAATCAACTTATTTGATTTGTAGCTTAACACTACTCAAAAAGACCGATTAGAACTTTTAGATACTATCCTGAATATTATCGACGCATCTATAGAATGGTTATCGTGATTTATTCCATCATTGAATTCAAGCTGATACCAAGCAAGTAACATGCAGCAATATCGTATCAGTCCCGATTCGAGAGAAATATTGAAAACACAAATCCACGAAATGTTCGTTCATCCAATCATCAGTGAATAAGTGGGTCTAATCCAATTTTTAATGCACCTACCAACACAATGTACAAATATCGATGCACATTTTCCCAAAATAGCCTTAATTGTCGTCACTGGTCCAACCCCTAATCATCTCTTCCAAAATGTCAGTTGTATTCTAGTGAGATGGATATATTACCTGAATCAATTGAAAGTATAACGTGTTGCTAATTACCCCAATTTTCTGCTTAAACCTAACAAAATGAGCATCGCCCTATTTGGCTGGTTCGGCATATTATGATTTGCCTTGGCCCACGTGTTTATAGTAGCTAACGTCTCTTTCTCAAATACGTTTTAATTATAGAATAGCATAGTTGAAAAGATAGTGTGCTGTGAACGCTTTTATCTATTTTGGCAGCGGTGTCTAATTATTGATTATTCATTGTTAACAAATTCAATGAATAAACACTGTTTAATGTACATGCAATAAACAAGCGTTAGTACCGAATTATTTGTGAATTTCACCCACTCAATATCATACTTTTTGTGCAAAATGTTCTATCCTTTCACACAGTTATTTCTATAATTTATTTGTTTTGAACCAAATAAACATAAATTTCCAATTGTCTACAGATCTTGATCATGTTTTAAAATAAATGAAAACAATTATGCAGAATTATATTCATGAAAGGTGACAATTTGACATTTGTGTCCAAAGAGTTAAGGATAACTTCGTGTTTGGGACTACATGACACGGCTGTGTGGCCATCTCTCTATCAAATGCAATTTAAAGTGCAATTCTGGCGTCAACCAGGCTCGGTTGAACACAAGCATCTGCGAACCTTAACCAAGAATCCCCCAAAATCACAGTCGTTAGTGAATGAATCTGGACATAGTCGAATTGAACTTTTCATTGCTTCTGTGGCACACTCCAACAGGGTAAGGCTCGACCTTTTTAGGTGATTAGCGTAAAGTAGGATTTGAGCTTGGGACCATCGACCATGAGTCTGGTGCAGCAACTACTATACTACCAGTGACAGGCAGAAGATGTATTGCATCTGGCAAAACACTGGAATTGTCGTACATTCCAGTTGGTTAGCTGCAATGGGAAATGGACTCAGCAAAATAAATGCTCCATGATGCATTTTGGGAAATAGCTAAACATAGCCGTCTGCATGTTTACTTACGAACCATGAATTGAAGGATGGGGTAGATGAGAAAGGCCATACTAAAAGTATGCAAAAGCAAATGATAAAAATCTGTGCCATTGGAAGATGTAGACCGATATGGGAAAATTAAACGCTTGCTAATAATCAACGGTTACAAGCAGATTTGTGAGACTTGTATGCGGGAAAAACCGACATATCCCTGATAAATTAGATCAGTGCTAGTGTATTTGAGAGGGGCTTATATTGTTATTTCATTCTGATCTCTCTGAAAACACATATTTTAAGGATTATATGCACATGGGTGTTCTATCTTAGTAATACATGTTTCGTACCACACACAATTCAACCTTGGGTATCAAATAAAATTGCCAAATACAGAAATCTAACACACACACACAAATAGTGACAACCATATAAACAGGCTTTAAGGTAGAATCTCTTCCTGGATTGTAAAACACATATTACGTATTACAGCACACTACGTGTTTCAAAATGGCGGTAGTAACAGTGTAATACACTTCACTCTGAATAAACAAATCATTACTGAGCATAGGATAACAAAATAGATCATGCTTTGCAATTACACATAACGAACGTTTTACTGTGTAATATTCACAACAAATCAGATTTAACTTGTAAATACCATTTTATTTGCACATATCGCACCATGACACCATGATCTATGGTTGTACATGTGCCATATAAACCATCTGCACATATCAATGTGCAGAGTATATAGCCATACCACAATAAGTGTGAAATAAAGTTCAGAACAATAAGTGTGAAATAAAGTTCAGAACAATAAGTGTGAAATAAAGTTCAGAACAATAAGTGTGAAATAAAAATCAGAACAATAAGTGTGAAATAAATTTCAGAACAATAAGTGTGAAATAAAGTTCAGAACAATAAGTGTGAAATAAAGTTCAGAACAATAAGTGTGAAACAAAGTTCAGAACAATTAGTGTGAAATAAAGTTCAGAACAATAAGTGTGAAATAAAGTTCAGAACAATAAGTGTGAAATAAAGTTCAGAACAATAAGTGTGAAATAAAGTGCAGAACAATAAATGTGAAATAAAGTGCAGAACAATAAGTGTGAAATAAAGTTCAGAACAATAAGTGTGAAATAAAGTTGAGAGGTATATATATATATTGTATGACAGCTGATACAGTACGGATTATATCTATTATAGTGAAAACTGATGTGATCAGTATCGTTTTTTTTCTGTTACTCTCGATTGTCATGCTTAATAAAAATTGTGAAGCACATCATCGAAAACGAGATTGCAGTTCATAATCACACTGTTTTCATATCAGGTAAGGTAAACTATAATTTTAAGAATATTGTAATCATTCAATATAATGAGACATTTTCGACAAAGTAGTTTTTCTCAATAATAGATATGAATAGAGTGAGATATGGTGGGAATATAGAACAAACGACTAGAATAATAGAATATGACAAATGCATTTATTAATTTCATTAAGTTTTCCTAGTTCTAAGTCTGAATATAATTTGTTCTTCTACGTGTCTACATTGCGTCTTGCTGCCGCTAACAACTCAACCCAAAGAAATGGGTATTTCTGAAACGCTATGCCCCTACAATTAAACGTATTGTTGCTGGGTAAATTCTGTGCCTAGTATATTGCAAATGTTCAGCAAAGCGCCCCCCCCCCAAGCCGACGCACCGTGGATCAGCGTGACAATTACATACTAGGGAAGTTAGATTGTTCACACCTGACCAAATATTAGCAAAAGTACAAGGTATTTCAGTTCCAAAATAATACATATATATATTTCTATATTGCCATCACGTGTTAATACCACATAAGACACAGTTTTTATGGTATTGTTTTACAATAATACTTGCAAAACAGGTTGTTTCTTTTACATTTAGGTATAACTATTTAACAAGTCTCCCATTTTGTTCAAAAATTTACACATAAGAAAATACTATGAAATTAATTTCAATTAAATTCAATTTATTCAATTAAATTAAATTCAATTCAATTCAATTAAATTCAATTAAATTCAGATAATGAACTATTAAACTCGGGTAATAGTTAAATTAAGCTCAAATCAGAAATGTATGACAGGTATACACTAAATATGTTACGAATATATGCAATTCATATAAATCTACACATATATGATCGATTTCAATATGTCCATACATTGGAATATACAAAGGAACAAGGTATTCAGCAATTATGTGAAAATATATTGTGATATTGTGATGCATGAAGTTTGACATTATGCAGTCTTTTTTATTTCCAGTCATATCATATTGCCATGCATATACGTACAAGAGATGTCATACTCTGTGTGGTTGGCCTCTTTTTGAGTAGCATTCATTTGGTCATACTATTTAAACCGTTCACCTCCTCGTCGCCAAATATACCAGTTTTGAAAAACTTTAAATCAATCTTAACCATGAACGATCTAAAGGAGAAGATGGAATTCGATCAAAGTAGGAAATGTTCATGTCCGGAGCCAGTCATTGGGCCCCTTGACATGAACAATCGTCAGAGACAGAAAAGGGAATATTTGGAATGGGAAAGACAAGAAAACAAAATGGCGGAACCAATAACACTGTGTTCAGCTATGTCCCCAATACGATACCTGGGATCTGGAATAACTGTGGAGCCTCTACACGTTGTTCGCCTTGTGGGAATTGAGGTAGATTCTACGTTACAAATGAATAAAGAGGTTAGAGTAACGCTTACTTCCAGACATTCTCTAGGTCACATTTATATCGAACTTTGCAAAATAACAGATTCACTGCACATAGAGGGCAATAAAAGTGGTCACGTTTCAATACAAACAGGAAATATGGACGATATGAATAGCGCCCTCTCACATCTAATCTACAATAGTAAATATCATCATATAAGGCAGAGAGATTACATTGACGTTTCCATGCATAATTTTCATATCGTCATTAATATTCTGATCCAGAGAAGTCATGTACCCAGACTTTATGATCCAGGACCTTATAATGACATCAGTGGGAAAGTCACTGTTGTATCCAAGACATTTGAACGGTATGAATGTGTTAAGAGACTTATTTCAAGTGTCAACACATTCTATCCCAACGTAACAATACTAGTTGCAGATGATTCTCGGGAAAAACAAAAACTTGATGGAAACAATTTGAAACATTTTCTGATGCCTTTTTTAGAAGGTTATAATGCAGGAAAGAATTTATTGGTCAGTCAGGTGCGCACAAAGTACTTCCTATGGGTTGATGACGATTTTGTTTTTACCAATGATACCATCTTGGAACGCTTTGTAGAGAAGCTGGAATCCTCTACAGCTGAGTTAGACTTAGTGGCTGGACTCATATTACATCACGGTAATGTTGTTGAAGACTTTAGTGAAAAAGCATGGACCGACGTTGCGTATGCTAGAGGAAACGGCAGTGGGTGTCTCATTAGAAGAAGAACTCCAGTTGTAACACTCAAAGAATTTCCGAATTGTAAACTGAAAGACATGGTTATAAATTTCTTCATGGCAAAGACAGAGGCAGTTCGAAAGGTCGGGTTTGATTTAACGTTTGAAAGATTTGCTCATCGAGAGTTTTTTGTAGATGCTCTCGGTTTTTTACGAATCGCTCAATGTGATGATGTCATCATCCTGCACAGACGAGAAAATTCACATCGGTATAGTGTTACTAGGTATATGAAACGTGACAGACAAGGTGTTACACGATATGCAAAACGTATACTGTTTAAAAATAATCTTCAGTGCTTTCAGTCCTGGGAAAAGATTTTTGTTCAAGCCAAGAACAATATTAAATAACAAGTAACACAACAGATTTATTCGACCTGAAGGTCAACATATTTATTTGAGTGCTGCGGAACCAAGTTCAATATATATATTACAATTTTAGATATTTACTATTCTAATTATACAGATGGGTAATGTCAAATCAAATTTATATATGGTCTCATGCAGAACCTTAATATAGAGTTTTGACTTCACGTTTTCTAATTAGTAACAATAAATTGATTCCAGAAAAGTCTGATAAATCACACACCTTATTGTAGACCGCCCTCTTAGGTAGACCGAGGAAAGCGTAGGCTGTCTTTTGGGAATAATCTTACTTGTATAAGGGGTGTATACATGTTTTTTATCTTTTAATGTTAGGTGAATTGATGTTTTTATCTTTGTTTTTAATTTAATCGAATGTATAACAGTATTTATGCAAACATGTGGAACGAACTACAAAATGTAGATATGTACCGGGTTACATTATCGATGTAATAATGACAAACAGGATTACATGTGCTATTGTAGATATCTGTAAACCTATACATGCATTCGGTGCGGTGCTACCTAACAGAACTGTGATCAATTTAAAATAATTGCACAATTATACTTTATAGATAAATGCATCAAGTTTAAATGCTGAACACATACATTCTCTTAAATTGGGGTAAATATTAATAAACAACTCTCACATTCTGATCTACTCTGCCAGGAAATTTGTGACAGCGTTTGAGTATATATTGTTCCAAACTTAGTATAACCGTTACATCCCTGATTCGATGAAAAATATAATAATTCCTACTAGAAATTATGCTCGGGACCCATTGTCTTCTCACTTCTGTATTCCCTTTCTTTTGTGCCTCAGAAGCATACAATTGCTTATACAAGTCACCCATTCTCTATAATTTCATACTCATTCGAAATACCTAAGGATTATGAAGTTAGTAGTGAAATAATGCCATGTATCATTTTTCAATTTTAGTCTTGGTCAAGCTACATCTAATACGTATATAGAAATAGAAATCTTCATTCCTTTTAACTATATTATTACTCAGTATAGTACCCAGGAAGGTATAAATACATACATACCAACCTAAATGGTTGTCATGTCGGAAATGACATAAACATTGACATTGAATACAATGATATTTTTGGCGCTTAGCCCGAGCTCAGCCTTAACACAGACGTATTGGCCCGTGTTAATGATCTAGACAGGGTCGTAAAAACGGATCAGATTTAGCTCGTGCTTATCGTTTTTTAACCCATGCTAATCATTCGCGCACGTTTTCTTTTCGGGCTAACGTTTTTCACCTCTTAGCTTGTGCTAAGGAGCTGTGCGCGATTGCAATTGACACATACTCGGAGCACCAAACTAGATTGATCTTTGCACGTAATTTGAAATTGTGACGAGTAAAACACACAAACATAGCTAACATTTTTTTTATTTACTATTTACTATTTAAGATATGATCAACCTGAGCGCTGGGAGTTGAAAACGTATAGGTCTTTGCGTTTTACACAATAGTATTTATGATATATGTAGCCTTCAATTTTGTGGTCAATCACCTCTCTAAACACAGTCGAATGTCTCGCATAACGTGAATACAATGTATGTGACAAACGAACTATTTAAACATGTCAGGCGTCGGTAAATTAACATAGATGAATTTCTGCATGTGCAATTATTAATTTCTCTCCCGAAATATCAGGCAATCTTGGGTAGACAGTTCAACTCGACAGTTGAGGTATAGTGTGACCAGTGCAAGGTGTTGGTGTTTTGTGACCATCCTCTGATGATTATTTTCTGCAGAAGTTGTAATATATCATAATTTTCTGTAGCATCACGAATCTGGGCCAGACGCCCTTCTCTGATGAGAAGGAAACTAATTATTAAAGATTTTTATTTGTACTTGCAGTTTTTGATTGGTGTGTATACTTTTTACTTTTGCAATATACAATATGAATTTCATAGTTCTGTTGTTGTATCATCTTACATTTCATTTACGTTGTTTAAGTGCTTTGTGGTGTAGCTTCATGGTTTATGATCACTATAAACAATGGTGTGGTCACCATTTCTGATGAAAAACTATAGCAAACATTTCCTTCTTGATTTGAGCATTAACGCTTTACTGGCATGGACGACCTTCCTACATTGAAATAGTGTCAAGTCTAAGTCGACTACTATCACACTGTATTGCAAGGTCTTTATTTGCATTGTAGTACGTTTTAGAATAGGCGCTAAATCAATCCTAGATATAAGTTCCATTCCCACGGGGTATTAGAATGTCAGCAGTCAAGTGGCTTCATTACATAAGTCATAAATTGACTGAGGTAGTTGCACATCTTCAGTAATTCAGTAGGCATTTATTGTATTGTCTTAAACTTAATCAGAGTCAACTTTGAGGCCTTCTGATGCACATCTCTAAAGCTTGATGTAATGCTTTCTGATTTATCTCAGACATATCTTTAGACATTGAAACCAAAAGTGAGTCTGAGCCAACAGTATCTGCAATATGGAGTAATGGATGTAGTTAACAGACAGACTAGATTCTTCATCGAGGACTAAATGCCAGTATGCAGATGACAGATCATTGTTTTTAAAAATGTTAGACTTTGCTAAAGCAGGTAAGGTTTAGGCCAGGTTTTGTCCATGGGGGTTACAGCTCCTAAATTCACAAGACGGCCAAATTCAGCTTTAAGTTTACTTCAAAATGACACAGCTCTTGGTCGACACGGCAAAGTGACGGGGCTTGCTGCAGAGTTCACATTGATGTGTACTTCTCCCTCAAACTTTCTCAGGGCAGTATCATCAAACACGTCAGAGTAATTAGCAATTATATTATCTTTGCTCTTGCTTTTAACTGCGTTGTTTGAACTTTCCCTATGTAATGACAATAAGTTCATTTGTTCAGTAGTACGAAGACCAAGTAGTGGAGTAAGAATATCTCTTACTATGACGAATTCTACAGAAAACTTTCTCCCGGCGTAAGATTGTGAATATTGTGAATTAACAGACTTAAATTGCTTTGGTAGGCTTGATTTGTCTATCTCCAACGTATCTAGCAGTATCCACAATCCAAAAGAAATTTCAGAGGTCATTAGTGTTATAGTCGCAGCCAAGTACAGTAAGTGCCCCACTGGATTTTCTAGAAAAATTATGTCGTTCCTTACAGGCTGAGCAGGTTTTACACCATGTTGGATATTTAAATTTGTCAGGAACATGTTTATAACAACATACATTTACAGCCAATGTCTCTAGGTTTGCTTTAGGCTTTGAGTATTTCTTTTTAGTCTTCTTTCTGGGATCACAGAACTTGACTTCACCTTGTGTACTTCATGTTGACCTCCCATTCCCTTCAATTGTGAAGCATTTGAGGCAGGGGATTCGTCGCCTTTGAGTTTTTAGCTTGCGTTGTTGTCGTTGCTTAGAACTCAATTCTCGCCCGTGCGCAGGTGACGATCCCCTAGCTTTAACTTCAGACTAAAATATACATCAATATTTTCACAGGCGTCTTTGACAGGGGTTTCTTTTGTTGGATAGGTATCTCTTATAAATTTTATTGATTTTTTTCCAATGAAGTGCGTATTGAATTTCTTGATAACTGTACCAACTAAATTTATGTCTTCATCAGCGCCATAATCAAAATTGACTTTTTTTGTTGGCATATGATGTCGGGTAAAGACTTTCACTGTCGCTTCTCTGTTTCAAAATTTCCAATTTTGTCTGCCAATCTTTGAATAGAATAGTTTTACTTATAAGACAAGTATTGAGATTGTGGACCATAGGTGTATGTCTGGCAACAGGGAGATCACGTATTGATGTTTTCTCTGCCCGAAAAACTGGAAAATGTTCATCCTACACACCGCTCGCCAAATGTTTTTCTAGTAAAGAGCTATGTTACCGATTGACAGCTAGCTTCATTATACTTTATTTCACGGGAATTATATAGTGACAAATGCTGCTGATGGTTGAATGCATTTTCGTCCTTTACTAAAATTGAAGACGAAATCGGCTGGTTTTCGTAATTAACTCATGGATTTATGGTACCAGTGGTTAATAGTATGTAAATGGATTTAACATAATGGCAGACAAATGTAAGTAATATTCCGTACATGTATAGAACTGATGGAAGCAAACTGTAAAGGCGAGCAATCTGTCTGAAGTGAAAACGAAACAAAGCGAGTTAAAATCATCGTGTGTAATTGATTATCTATCGGTCTCTACATCGTTATTTGATAAGTTGTTAAGTTTTTCCATCTCACTCAGAACCCAATCTATTGATTAAATGCATTTGGTCTTTTGATCGTGCTAGGGAATTTACAGATATATTCTAACTTGAACGAAACATAGCTGGTCTGGATATTATTATAGATGATCCAGTCTGTAAAATAAATTATGTTGTTAATCTTTTTAATGAAACATGTACAACTGCAGATAAATGCCGTATGTTGGGACGTGCAAGCAAACTGGCTTTAGACAACCACCGTGATTTGACCATGTGTGATATTATACCCGGTACAACCGCCGAGTTAGACAACGACTTGTTGACTTGTCGACTTGTTGTGTGAATGAAAATTGCCGACGTATTACACAACTCAAAATGCGCAAAGCCGATAGTCCAGACGGCGTAACAGGTTATTTTTTCAAAGCACCTGGTGACTATATACCCCAGTATCTTTGTGACCTTTTCAAGGCTCAAGTCGGTTTGCAGAAAGGCTATTCTACAATTTTAGTGTGCCTTTGTGGATTTCTCACAAGCAGTTGACACCGTCAGCGTCAAAGTTTATGGTACTATTTGTTTGAAGAATGGCATCAAAGCGAGAATGTTCAGAATGCTATTTATCAGTTGTTCTAATGTCAAAGCACATGTCAAAACTATGCATGATCACACCGGACATTTTTATTGCCCATCTTGGTGTAAGACAAGGGTGTATTTTAAGTTCTTTTCTTTCCTTGTTTTCACATACGCATTAATTTTTGCACTATAAACTCCAGGTCAAAAGTGGAAACAACTGTTACTGGACTTAGT